CTACTCCCTTCCTCTGCGATTTTGCAATCATTTATTACCAGCCTACTCAGCCCCCCTTACACGCACCTGTGAGCTAGACGCTATGATGTCCTCCAGTCGCTCCCCCCTCCCCAGCCGTATGCCGACAGACCGGTTTCTGGACAGGTCGCCGTAGCAGGTGAGCATGATGTCACCCAGCCCCGATAACCCCGACATGGTGGTGGGCTTGGCGCCCATCTTCTCCGACAACCACCTGCGCACAGGCAGCCGGGAAGGCAGGTCGACAGGCCGGCAGGTAGGCAGCGAGTGGGTGTGGCAGGTAGGCAGTGAGTGGGTGTGGCAGGTCGTGTGATGCAGCTGCAGCCGGGTGTGGGATTGCGGCGAGCGAATCCCCTCCGCTCCAAACCACCAACCCAGAGGCCAATCGCCTTATCTCCGTCACCCGGGCGGGTCCTGGCCCCCCGCCCTGCCCAACCCTCTTCCAACCACAACCGGCATACTGCCACTCTATAGTCTCAACCCTCTCCCTCTACCCTTCCAGCCGAAACCTCCTTCCCAAACCCCTCCGCCCACAAAGACCCGCAACCCCACGTCCGCAGCCCGTCCCCACGTCCCGCATAGTCCTCTCCCGTCTCCACCCACCCACCCACACAAACTCACAACACCCCACAAGTTACCGCTCTCAGCCCCCGACCCGGTGTTACATGTCGTACCAACCATAGTAGCCATGGTAGCAACATGCCGTAGCTCTTCCCCCCTCTGGTACTCCTGAGCCCGCCCTTCACGGATACACTGGATGTGCCAACCGCTTACCAACCTCCTCCTACCACCCAGTATTTCCATCCACCAGCCAGCACACCCCTAAACCACCCATGCCCACCTGATTTCCGAGCAGCCCTGCGCCACCAGCGCCGCCAGTGCATTGTGGCCCAAGTCCATTCCCTCCACAATCCCCGCAGCAATCGCCAGCACGTTCTTCAGCGCTCCGCAGATCTCCACTCCCACCACGTCCGTCGTCATGTTAACCCGCATGGTGGGGCTCGCAAACAGATCCTGAACAGTCTTGGCAAGCTTGCCGTCCTTGCACGCGGCCACCACCCCCGTGGGCCGGTTCTGCATCACCTCCCGTGCAAACGAGGGCCCCGACAGGAACACCGCCGGCTGCTTCCGCTCCAGGGCGCTCGGAATGAGCTCCGACATCATTTGGCCGCTGCCCACCTCCAAACCCTTGCTGACGCAGATGATGGGAACCGAAGGGGGAAGGTAATCCTTGATGCCCTGCAAGAAGGCACGGGACGATTGTACGGGTACGGCATGTACGGCGTACTGCGCTCCGGCAATGGCCTCCGCGGCGAGCGTTGTGGCTCGGACGTTGTGCGGCATTTGAAAGCCCTGCGGGATCGAGGGTTGATTCGGAGCGAAGGAAAGGCCGGAAATATGACCTGGGAGAGACACAACGCACGCCCACGGATGGTGGCCACGACAAGCAGCCTCCTCCTGATACAGATGTCGCCCACTGAACCTGAATCTTCCCGCCTCTCTCTCACTCCCTCTCTGCCTGAACCCTTCCATCCAGCAGATTCACCCGTCACCTCGCCGGCCGGCCAGCCGGTCGGCAGATTCGCCCATCGGCTGGTCGGAGACAGCGATTACGGGCGCCATGGATAGCTGTAAGCCCCCTAAGTCCGGCCCCGTTGCAGATGCCAAACAACCAGGCTTAAGCCCCACGGTCCAACCTCCTTGGCTTGGACCGCAGGACCGGGCAACAGCCAGGACCCCATGTTGCATGAGGAAGAATGGGGTGAAAGGGGAAAGGGTCTCTCACCTTGAGGTAGCGTGTGTTTTCGTGGAGCGTGTTGATGTCCTTACAGAGGTAGGGGTCCCGCACCAGCAGCACAACGTCCAGGTCGGACTTTTGGCGGGCTAGTGCGCAGCCCATGGCCGTCCCAAAGGACCCTCCGCCAAAAACGACGATCTTCTTTGCTGCCTCCAAAGGGCTTCCGGCAAGCTTGCGCGTACGAAAGACCTTTGACCAGCGCATGAGCGCATCCCATGACTCCCGTATCTGGTTACGCTGTGCCGGCGAGTATGCAAAGCCATTGGAATTGTGTATGCTGCTGCTGGATACGGTGGCACTGTATGCCTCGACGCGGCGGTACTCGTCCAGGTTGCGCAACGCTTCATCGCACAAAATGCCCGATTCTGGTACCACATCGTCTGGGTCTGAGAGCACCAGCTCGCCATCTGCTAGAGGAGCCTGCACGACCGGTTCAGTACTGGCTACAAGGACTCGGCTACCTTTGTCCGCAACAACGCAATTCGACCGTGCTAATCCATACTGCCGTTGTCCCCGGCCGCTTGGGGAAGGCCAGGTGCCTCGGTTCCCTAACGCTCCCTGCGGCAGTGATGGAAACGGCTGCGCAGCCGACGGCAGGGGCCTAAGCAACATCAGGCAGGGGACGCAAAAGCGTCAATTGTCTAATTTTTCATGCCTTCGCAAGTAACTCTGCAAGGAGAGCTGACGTGGGAAAGTTCATGAGGTTGCCCGCAGAGCTACTTATATGCAGTTGACTAGTATATAAATTGCAATTAATTATTAATTACTAAAAATGAAGGAAACGTAGGAACGATCGTCTGGGTACAGTACTAGCGATGCTACGTGGACCCATTGGTACCGGTTTACATTTTATGCACTCACGAATTATAATGATCCGGTTGATGTGGGTTTCTGTCCACCATTTATAGCATCCCGGGGTAGCAACGTAAAAACATTTTTGGGTGGATCGCCATAAGCACGTTACACCGCTAGGTTGCTTCGTAGGTTGCTTCGATCTCTTATGGCGTTGATCCAGCGGGGTGGAGGAAGACTGTTGGCGAGGCTTGCGCGAGGCGTGTCGGCGGAGACTGCCACTTGCTCGACTTCCTTGCCACTGCATTCACAACTCGTGACCCCTTCGAGCGTATGGAGCTTCCCGGGAGTCCGGTGGATGGCAGATAGCGAAGCACCATCGTCTCGGGTAAGTAGACGGCAACCATCATGTCTTTCATCCGCTTCAGGCCAGCACAAGCTGTCGGAGCTTAGCCGTGATTGATCTGTTACCTACGCTCCCTGAGCCTAAGAGCGGAAACGATGATGAAAACAGTTGTTGCAAATGACAGGGGGGTAACGGTCAGAGAGAACAGGGTTGACTTGCGCGTCGGGTGCTAAAAGCCACAGAAAACGCCCTTGGAAGCCGACCCAGATCGCTAATTCCTCATCATAGGACCCTAAAGATCCAATCACCCTTTGTGCACGACCGCACTGCAGCGGGCGCGTCCAACTTCGTGAACACCTCACAGCTCTGGGGAGTTGGGGGCCAAGCGCCGCCAACTTGTTTGGTGTCACAGGATGGCTTGGTGTCACAAGCCTGAGAGTTTTTCACCTGGCAATAGGCGGAATGCAGATGAATGCAGACACTCCTCTCATTCACACGCATGCCGGTGGTGAAATGGACGGTGATTCATGTGTGGGGGGGGGCAGATGGCGCTTTGGTGTTTCGGGGGTTATGGTTGGCTATCCCCGGGAGCTCCCGTCCTGGACCAGAGGGACATGGGGAGGTGGGTGATGTGGTCCAGGACTGCTCCATTCCATCCAAGAAAGTCCCCCGCCGCCATCCCGCGTGGGGAGAATATCAATATTGGTTATGGGGGTGAAGTATGCCGCAAAAGCCACTGCTCGACGGAGTTCGTCACCGTCCGGGGAATATTAGGCCACCAAGGCCCCATGCCCATTTGTCCTCCAAACCCCCTGCCCTCCGCCAAGAAGTTGGGAAGCAGATGCACCCTGGCGCAGCAGCAGCACACAAAAGCAAAGCACTCCCTTAGAATTTCCATGTTGGGAGAAGGGATTTCCAGGTTGGGAGAAGGGAGAGGGAAGTGGGCGGCCTGGAAGGAGATCCCAGACATGGAAAATCTCAAGAAGGCCTCGGGGTGGGGCACCGGTTCGTGTTTCAGACTCGCGGCGTCGGAGAGGGCTAGAGCGGAAGCCTGCAGGGGTTCGGCAGTGGTTCAGATGCCCAGAATCCCCTAAATCCTTTGGCCTTTCCGGAGCCGTACAGCGCCGAACCTCATTTCCCCAAAAGGCAGGCCTTATGTCTAATCTCTGCATGCCGATAGCACTCGAGGCTGGATGATTGGTGGTGCTGCATAACCATGACGGCCTGTTGTTGCGACCTCCTCGCTACGGCTCGCACAGCCCTTCGACTCCTCCAAGGCCCCTGGCTTTTGGCCCAGGGTGTTCATCAGTCATCAGCACACCATCATTTCCGCCGTCTCTCTGAACTGTCCACGTATCATGACATCATGGCCTCCCCCCACCCCACTTCCCCTAGTCGGCGGCTGCAGCGGGCCCGCAACCCGGGGGAGGCGCGGAGCCCCCGGCCCCGGGGACACCACCTTCACGAAGTGCGGACGACCAGTCAAGGGCCCAGCCATCGCCAGCGCCGTCCTCATCCACACTGCCTGCCTCCACTCCGTCGTCCTCCCCTTTCCCTGCTGCTGGCACCTCTTCTTTCGCAGCAGCACCAGCACGAGCAAAAGGAGAAGATGCAGCCCCGTCCTCGCATTCCCCACAGGCAAACGCCGCCTCCTCGGACTCATCGCCAACTCCCGAGCGTCCTGCGGGGCCGCAGCCGCCTGAAACCCCCTCCTCCTCTTCTTCCTCTTCCTCTTCCTCATCCTCATCTCCTAACTCTACAGCTGCTGCTGCTGCTGCGAAGCCCACAAAACAGCCCAGATCCAATGTAAGCATACAGAAAAAACCCAAATCAACTTCTACAACCAAGCCAGTTCCTGACAAGGGCGATAAGAATCAAGGTGAAGGAGATGAGTCCAAGGATGACGAGGGTGCTGAAGCCGGTGATAACATCCACGCCCACCATGCGTTTTGGCGGGATGCCCGGATGCGGAAGATGCAGCCCATGATCGAGGAGGGCATGCGCATGAACGCATACGAGGGCCTGCAGGGGTACGGGGGCTTCATGGGAGGGCCGGACAGGGCCTGGAGCTTCCTGTACGACAGTCCATCGGCACGGCTGACTGCGGCGGCGTTCGCTCCGCTGTGGTCGGCGGGTGTGGGGCTGGTGCGACCCATGGTGTTGGGGCCCACGGAGGATATGATCCGGGACCAAGTAGACAACAGCTTCAATGCCACGGAGGTGGGTTTGCCATGTCGTACGCATTCACGCCTTGCTGTGTTACAATCCTTGAATGTAAATGTGAACCAGTGAAGTGTCCAGGTTGTCACCCTATGAAGTGAGGTCAACATGTGAAGTGGGCCCTCTCCTCTCACCTAGGAGGATGAATGTCTTGAGTTACCCCGAGGGAGGGCCTCAGAGGAGAGTTTTTCCAACACATCATTGTAGAAATCCGCTGCCAGCTTGCGGCCCTCATGGGATGCAGGGAAACACCTTTTCGTATGTGACGATGATTTGCTCCTGGACGCATGTTCCTGCGGGTCCGGGTATTGATGTGAAGAAGATGCTGGCTGTGAAGTATGTTTAGTGAGGAGTGGGGGATGTGATGCGATGTGTTGCGTGAGGCCGCGACGGGGTGAAGTGTTTAAGCTTGGCGGATTTTCTAATGAAATGGCTGGAGAGCCCTCCGCCGCTCACTTTCTAGCGCACCCTTGGTGTGGCCGAGAACGTCCACACTGTGCGCCTAGTCCCTGCCTGATCGCTGACTGACAGTCCATTCCCGTTTTACATCCCTCTGTCCTGCGGCCCTCCTCCTCCTCTCCCTGGCCCAACAACCGTCAACGATAACACGGCGGAGGGGTACAGTTCGTGGACTCGGTGTCCCAGGCGGCCCGTGTGTTCTTCGAGGCAGTGGCCGCCGAAGACTCGGAGGCACTATCTAAGATGTGCACCCCAAGAGTGAGTACCGTAGCATATTATTTCCGTCAATGTCCTCCGCTAAAGTGCCTACCTAAACTTTTGCAGTTAATCGAAGCGAAGTGCTTCACATGCGTGTTCGCGATTATATTGTCATGACCATTCTCCCTGCCATGCCCTGTCGTTGCCGCGGGTCTCCGGGTCGGGGGCTTCTTCGGCTGTCGCTCACTGCAGGCCACTGAGGCTCTGGATCGAGACCGTCGTCGGCTGCGGGAGGAGCTGGGGCTGCTGATCACACGGATAGACACGCAGGTCGGCAAGGCTTCACTGGCGGGGGCCAACCTGTGGGGCCCTGACTCTATTCGCGGCTTCGACCCAGCTTGGGCAAGTGACCTCTCACCCAACCTGTCCAAATCGTGGCTGGTAGTGGGTGTGTACCTGGACGTGACATTGTGGGTGTCATACAAGCGGGTAGGCAACAGCGGCGAGCGCGACAGTGGCGGCGTAGGTGGAAGCGGAGCTGTCTGGGGTCAGGAGGCGAGGCAGGAGTTCCAGCTGCCTGTGCGGCGCTGGGGCACTTGGTTTATGGCGCGAGGGCCACTACCCAAGGGCCCTGCAGAGAGCCTGGACTGTCCATGGAAGCTGCTCGCCTGGTGCTGAGGCTGTTGGGCGCTTTCCTGCCTCAGCTTCGGTTTACGGCTTCGGTGTTCCGTCTTTGGGACCTCCTAACACTACACGTCGACAGGAGGCACGGTTAACGGGCGTGTAGTGACTACCACTTCGTGCAAGTCGGCTGCGGATTTGTAAGAGGAGGTTATGCGATGTCATGAGGTGCGTGCGTGTTTCATACACAACTGAGTGGCAGCTCTCAGAGCGCGGTTGGGCAGGTGCACGGAAGGTGCCGGCCGGTTGGTGGAGCGACGATGGAGGTGAATTCAGGTGAGCTCTAAAATACCTCGGGCACCGCCGTTTACCTCGGTCGCTGCGGACAGCGGGCGAGACGACTGTTACTGTTTTGGCAGAGCTGCGGTACGCGCACGGTGGTTGTGAAGTAGTAGTGCTGACGTGCTAAGCACGGGTTCACAGGAAGAAGTGCCTATGACGGTTATGGGGCAAGCAACCGGTCCCCATCACAGCATCAGGTTTATGTGGGATGTGGTAGAGGCATTGTTTCGGCAGGCGAACCTGCACCAAGTGTTGCATCATAATGGTCGGCAGCAGGCTAGATCTACCTTCATTTACAGTCCGGGTCGAGAGCCGGAAGCTGCTGTAGACAGTGGAACAGACTGGACCGGATAGCACTGTGACGCACCAACCGGACGGCCTGCTGCTGCCGAACACCCTAGTCTACCCAAGGGGTAAGTGCATAACATTAAGAAGCCGATCCCAGCTACCAGCTCGGCTCACACGCTTCCCGTCCGGAGTGATTCGGCCACTCGTCAGCTAACTTCTCTCGACAAACCGCAGGTCAGGCTTTGCGTGCGCGTCTCGTGCACCTGAGTAATGGTTGGTCTATAAGACCACACACGGGCACTAACAGCAAGGTGTTTTCAGTAAGGAGACGAGGAAAGCAGCGCTGGACAAAGCCAGGTCTCGGGGCTAAATGCCTGAAGTGTCGAACTGCTCTTGGGCAACCACCAGTCCGGTGCATTTCGCCAATAAAACAGAAACCCCTGTACCTAACATATCGATATCACCAACCGCACACAGCGCCCCTTTCCTCAACGAGGCCGTGCACACCCGGTCGCAGGTATGTACCTCAGATGAATGACGTTACTCCAGGTCTGACCGGATTACTGGTCCTGCACACACCCAAACACCACACAGACCAGCAATAGTACCAAGGGAAGCCCCGCACCACGACCCAGACAGTCCTAAGCAACTCGGCGACAGCCCGGCGATCCGTCCACGGCAGCACCAGAGTTCCCACAAGCCTGCCATTATCCATCCTCACAACTCCAACCACCACTGGACGGCACACCTCCCTTCTAGAGGACAGCACAAGCATGCAAAGTTAATGGCACAGTGAGGACTGCAGTGAGGACTGCCAACAAAACCTAGTTACACCATCCATACACACGCCCGCAAGCAGCTGGGTGGCCCCTTCCCTACACAGTGTAGCTTCCCGGTGCCGGTAACCCCCTTGCATCCCCCGGTAACCCACGATAACCCACGACATCGACAAAGCGACTGCCATTGCTGGGCGACCAGAGTCGCGTCCGCCAGGGCCGTACCCCAGCTCCCTTGCCTTTCAATTTCCCTGCAATAATTCCGTCTCAGCAGCTACTCGGTCCCACTACCTGAACACGTTCCAAGCGTCCTTGAGCACATCAAACACCATATCCGCAATGGCCACCTGTTCTGCGGAGCCATTGCGCTGTCTCACCTTGTCCGGGTGCACCAGCAGGTTGGCACGCATGTAAACACGCTTGACCTGAGGACGGACAAAGCAGACGGGTAAATCGAGGAGAGGTGTCTGGTAGCTGGGAAAAAAGTTATTGCGGGAAGCTTACGCCGTGTTGGTTGCGAACCTGACAGCGTGGTGCAGTTAATTGCATAGTACTTGAGCAGCTCCTGGCTCGGTAAGCATTGGGTGCAGTGAACCGAGAGACCATGAGTGCAAAGGAGGGGTATTGTTGATGCAGAGAAGCAGGAGCGGAACGCAGGGAACAGCCACAACGGTATGGCGGCGCAGGGAGGCAGGAAAAGCCCACTACCGTGCAAGAGGTCTCGCAGGAAATAGCTGGATAGGGAATCTTCAACACGGCCAACACTGTGGCAAAGCAGACGGAATGACCACGACACAGTCCTGCATCAGCAGACTAACACTCCCGTCCACCTAGGCACCTAGTAGTCTGTGTGGCCATCAACCCACACGGCACACTCTCAACCGAAAACCTAACCCACGCGCTACAGTACTTCTGCAAAACACACGGCGAGAGCCAGGGGACAGACATGGTGGCCTGACCCACCCACCGCCATACCCCAACCAGTCACTCACCTGCCCCGGCTCTAGCAGGTCCCCCACACTGACGGGCGCCCAGCCGCTGTCGGGCCACAGCACCGTATGCAGGGAGCCCAGCAGGCCGCGGATGTTACCCTGCGGTTGAAGCGGCGAAGGAGGTGGAGAGGGGTTGGGGAAACGAGGTTGCGCTGGGAAGGGTCCGTGTGGGGGTGTGTTACGCAAAACTGAGGAGTTACACACATGACTGAGGGACCCATTGGCTGGAAGGTGAGGAATTGCCAAGAAGCCCACTAGGAGTGATATGCCGGCAATGTCATCACCAACCCTCACAGCAGAGATGTGCGGGAGTGTCACTGCGTCGTGCTGTTGTACACACCTTCACACAGGGATAGTGCCCAGAAGATGTACGCGCAATTCCGAAACCCAGAAATTCCCGCACCACAGTCCAGTCAAATCGTGTCAATCATCATGTTGCGGGCTCCATGAGCGGCCCGTAAAGCGCCTCAGTACACGCTCCACGCCCAAACCCACGCCCATCCTGAATCCAAGCCACATATGCATACGGAGCTCGGATCCTACAGCTTTTTGCAACATTAAGCTCGTTCACCAGCCACTGCCCACCTTGTTCTTGTTCTTCCATGCTTCAATGTCCGCCTTGTACCGGTCCTTGAGAGTGACCTGCTGCTCCCTCCTCGCCGCCTCCTCCGCCTCCATGGCCAGCTTCTCAGCCAGGGCCGCCTTCATCTTGGCGTGCTTGGCCGCCTCACGCTGCGGGAATGAAGAGAAGCCATCAAACATGGATCAAGCAAAACCGTTGGGTTCGCAAGGTATGAGCCGCGCGCCGCGAGCCGCGTGCAAGCCAAGACGCGTGCAGTGACCTGTGCGTTTACAGTTGTGCACCGCCCGGCGAGCAGGCATGGCAGGTACCGCAAGAAATCCCATTGCCGAGGGGCATATTCGCCTGGCAGTGTGTCGATAAACGATGTAAAAAACATCGCAAACCCAGGTGAAATCTAAATGCAGATGGCTTCGGAGGGTTCTGAAAGCTTCCAAGCAAGCAGCAAGCAGCGAGGAGCAAGTACAGGATGCCTCGTCCATAGCTGCACGCCGCATAAGAAGACGCACCCCTCTGGTCCCCCACGCACCTGCGCCCGCAACCGTCTCCGGATCTCCGGCTCATCCGCCGAGCCCTGCTCGCCCTTGTACAGATCCGCGTACCCCGACACGTCCACATCCGCGCCGCCCTCATCGTCGCTGCCGTGCAGCATGTCCGCGAGCTCTCCCGCACTGCCCTTGTTGTTGGTTGCAGCGGGGATAGTAATCCCACCACCGGCGGTCCGGGGCGCAACACGGTTGGGCGCCGAAGAGCTGGCGTGCATGGCGACACCAACCCCGCTACTGCTGGGGCCGGCGGGTGCAACTTTTCCTCCAGAGAAGAAATCATCAATATCATCAACGTGTACCGCTGAAGGTGGTGGCGGTGGCTGTGCCGGTGCAACAGCGGTGGCACTAAGGCTCGTGGGAGGACTGAGGTTACTCATGGCTGTTGCAGTCGGAGCCTGAGTGGCGGGTAAGGGTACGGCGGAAGGGGCGGTCCGAGGCGGTGTGGCCTCATCGCCGAAACCCAGCAGATCATCGACGACTGGCGCGGCGGCCGCGACGGCGGGGGCTACACTGGGGTTGGACGGCAGCTCGCCGCTGCCGAGGCCCAGGAGGTCGGTTGCTTCTGGCGGCGGCGGCGGTGGCGGTGTAGGTTGTGGCTGCGCTGGCCGCGGCGGCGCGGCTGGGTGCTGTACGGCTTCACCGTAAGCTGGTGGCTGCGGCGGCGCTCCGATGTGATGCCCTTGTGACGTAACGTCCTGCGGATCAGGCCAACGTGGAGGCATCGGCGTGCCGTGGCCATAAGGTGCCGCCGCCGTTGCCGCAGACGGCCTTGAGGCGTCATAAGCTCCGTGGCCCAACCCGGAGATGGTGCCAGCGCCGGGAGCTACCAATGCAGCAGCCGCGGCCCCTGCTGCTGTTGCGGTTGCTGCTGCTGCCGTGGCCGCCTCGTGCTCGGAGCGCACCTGCTCTCGCAACACCTCGATCACTCGACGCCGCAGCGGTGGTGGCATCTGCGCAAATGGATTAGTCACTCCAGGTAATAATGGACCATCAGGAGCGTGCCCATGGACAAATGCCTAACCCAAAAAAGCCCAGTCCAGACCACACGAGGGCAGCCGGGAGGCGGGCAGGCCGTAAAACATACGCAAATGCCTTCTGGGAAGCCCTCTGTTTACAGCCGGTTGCAACGACCGCCTCCTGGGGCTGATTGCAACTGAATCTCTCCCGATACCCCGTACCAAAGCCTCAACAAAGCAGCCGCATACCGCGTGAATACAACCTTCGACGCTAGGGGACGAACGCAGCCCTTTGCAGCAACGTGGTGCGATGCGCTGTCAGGTGTGATGCGGTCTGATGCAGTCTGAACTCACGTGTGACAGCTCTTGCTGCTGCGCATGGGGCGGCAGGTCCGCCAGCCGCACGGCCCAGGCCAGCGCCTCGTCGTTGCTGATCTCAGCCACCTCGGCATCGCTGCGGAGGTGGCCCAACGAGTTCCCGTGTCGGGGGACGGCATGGGCTATAACAGTATGAATAGAGCGCAAGCCTACGTGGGCCAGGAGACCGCTACATGCAGCTAACGACCCAACCTCACACCACAACGCCCGGCAAACCTTGTATCCAGCAAACACCCGCTCGTCTAGCGCCCCAGTGCTGGAGGAGAACCTGCATGTATCCCCCCATGCACCCCGCTATCTGACCCACTGCAACATCCAGTCCTCACCTTCGGCCTTGCCCCGCCCCATACGCCGACGCAGGCCGTGTGCCGCCTTGTGAGTGCTGCTGGTGGTCCAGTCCCTCCAGCGCGTGTTCCAGCTGCGCCAGCCCCGCCTTGGCCGCACGAACCGCCTTCTTCCCAAAGGCCTTCAGGTAACCAGAGATACCGCTGCCGGCGGGCGTGTGGCTCCAGTTAAACGATGACGATGAGTTGGATGGCTGGGAGGCCTCTAGGCCATCAGCCACGGCGTAGCCGTACTGCTGGGAATACTTGAGAGCATCTTGGTGATGTTGCGGAGTGGACTGTGGCTGGTCACGGCCGTGGGTGGCGCGATGCTGGCGGTAGTCTATAGCTTCAGAAGAGGAGGATGAAGGGAACTGTGCATATCCGCTGGGATGATCCTTCCGCGTGAGGGCCCCTGGCGGCGATGCCATGGACATCCCAGCGCCGCTTGCATCGGCATCGGGGGCTGGCCGGATGGCAGCCGCTGAGCCCGGGGGTGCCGTCTGGTGCTCTGTGTGGTCGGAGTAGTTAGGTGGCGGCGGGCGCTGCTCCGGCATTTCCATCTGGAATCCTGTAGAAGGTGCCACCCGCATGGGCTGCTGGGGCGGAGGCGGCGGGGCCGCCTGAGCCTGCGCCAGCGCTGCAGGGGCTGCTGTCGGCGAGATCAGGTTGGAGGCTGATGGTACAGATGCCGGGACCGGTGCCGGGCCTGAAGGGAAAACTGCACACACGGAAATTCCAGAAGCAGCAGCCAGCCGCGGGGCGGCTCAGCATTGTTCAACAGGGCCGCAGAAACACACGATTAGACGGGAGGACTGCACTGCGTCGACGAATCGTCTCAACGCGAGCGCAAGGCGGCGCCTAGCGATCCGGCGTGGGGATCGTGAAGTATACAACGCATGGGCCGTGAGCTAGTGGCGCCCCAGCTAGTGGCGTCCGACTTTGGCCTGCGGAGGCCTCGCTCCAGCATAAGGCCCTCCGCTTATTTGGGCCACTCGCATCAACCCCTGTCCCACCATGAACGTCATCGAAGTCCAGCAGCATCCCTCCTCCGCTCGCCGCTGGTACTGCCGGTGCTGTCGGGGTTGTGTGCTTCTGAGGGGCAGCTGCTCCTGGGACTTCTTCGAACAGCGCGAAGGGGTCATCCAGGAGCTTTACAGAGGGGCCCGCACTCTTAGGACCCACTTGGTTCTGCTGCTGTACAGCGGAAGCTGTCAAGTTGGATGCACTGCTGTGCTTTGACAGGCTTGGAGACGCAGCGCCCGACGTTGCTATTGTGGCTGAGGGTGCGGGGATGGGGCAAGCGACGCTTAAGGTTTTACCCCTCGGGTACAAACTCCACGGGGCAGGCACACCCAGGCTTACTCAAAAAGTCCAAATCGAAGTTTACGGCGTTGGGCGGGGCCCTGGGCGCCGTTGTAGCAGCAGCAGGCCGAATAGCTGCGATGATAGTTGTGCTCGAGTAAGATTTGCACAAGCGGCAAACATCCCGTGTCTTCAGCAAAGTACATACGTGAGGAAGAAGGCACAGGCCCAGCCGATGGCTTCTGTTTAAGCTCTCCCATCGTCTTCTTGACAAACAGGTCTTCAAGCCCAGCCTGCTTATAAATCTCATCGAAGTGGAATGGGTCATTCTTTTTAGAAGCGGCAGACATCGTTGCTTTTCACGTCTGGCTACTTGTCTCTAGAACGATCAGCTTCTTGCAACATCGTGTTTGTGAAGTGCATAGGCCAATTACACACCTAAGATAGTTTACTTAAAAGCATACGATGCATACTAATTTCTCTTGAACTTCCTAAGGTTTTGCCGAATAACACTGTTTACCAACAGCAAACGAACGTCGTATCAGCTGAGCGACGGTTGTCTCGATCCGTGGGTGGCTGGATGCCTGACAACTGTCGTCCAGGCTTTCACTAGCTGTGATCCTCGTATTGTTAAGCCAGAATCGCAAACTATATAGCCGCTAAGGCAAGCCATTACGTGCGCCGTAACGCAATAACGCAGGTATCAGTCAGAACAGGTCAGCAGAGTCTTGGCGGAAAACAAGGAAATACCCTCAACACCCCCAACCCATGGCAACGCAGGTCCCTTCCAATCCCCAATTCGAATTTCGATAATTCCTATTCCTCATCGAGCTTCCACGACAAGGTTTAATATCTCGTGTTCTCTGCCACAGCTTGCGCCTATTCCGCGGCCTCTGCCCTTCCGTCCCCACCCGCTGTGAGGGACCTCAGAGGTCAACCATTTCCACGCATTGCTAACCATGCAATATCATGACGGCCCAAACATGGCGAAACCCCTTGAAACCCAACCCGTTGGCAGGGCGAGCCTTGCTCCAGGCTTTAAGGTTTAACTACAAGCTAGGCCATACGCTGAGTTTGCCTGGCCCCCATCGGTAACCGCTGTAGGAAGCCACCCCGATTGCGAAGGCTGTTAGGTTCTGTGAAGTTGGATTGTGCTGGGGAGGATTTACCCAGGTGCGCGCTTGTGCATCCGCTCAGTGTCAGCTTACCGGGCACTGTGCAGGGAATGAAAGGGGTGGGGCTTGAGCCGCCAGCTGGTTTTCTCCGCTCCCGGATCGAAGCTGAGTAGCCAAGAAAGGAGCATTCGAAACACCGGATCCAGCTTTGCGCGGCGGCACCCCTGTACAGCCCAAAAATGAGAGGTGCAGACTGGGGGACCCTGTGCTTGGTTGCTCGTGGCCTGGGAGGGAGCGTGTACGCCATCCTAGTTGGGATGATGCAATGGCGTGCATGTGTACGTCGTCCCCGCAATGCCAGGGCCCCTGACCGCGTCCTCTACGGCTCCTCATATCAACGGCCATGAGAAAACTGCTTCGCAGGCCCACGGCTGCCACGCTCCAGGGCATTTCCCCCTGAAATGGCCAATTTCCGGAATACACGGTGCCCTTTCGGCCCTAATGGCACATAGTCGTCCCCCTTCTCCTGCGCAGGTATGCTTCCATGCAATCGCAAAACGTGTGATGCGTGTGAGCCACCAACAGAAACAACTTGTAACGGAAACGGCCCTGTGTAGGCACTGTCCAGCGGTCAGCCGCGGCCACTGCCACGACAGCGCGCACATGCTCCCACTCACATGTCCGTACGGCAACGGCAACCACTGGGTACTTGACCGCACTCCAGAACTCCACAAAGAGCATAGAGCCCGGGTGCAAGTTCTAGCGGCCCCATCCCTGCTCCCCCATCCCCCCCATGAATGGCGGTCAACTCCAGAACAGCGGCAAGCAATGGTAACGAACAGGCAGGCAGGCAATCGAAGCGCACATGGCGCGGGCGCCCGAATATCTCAATCCAACTTAGAGATCGCCCGGCGTACTTCACATTGTGCACAAAGAAACTAACCAAACCCCAACCAGACCAAACCAAAAGCGACTTCCGCGCAAGTGGCACCTTCGTGACCGCGGGCATCCGCGCACACATGTATGGCGCCTCCCTGTTTGTACCCCAGGTATCTTCGCGCACTGTCTGAGGACAGTCCAGGTCCGACACGAGCCCTAGCTGCTCCGCAAATTCACTTGACACCTTGCCGGCCACGAAATCTGCCATCACCGCAAATCATGGCCAATATTACAGGCACCAACATCGCCATTCCCACCACACACCGCAACCATCCCTGCTGCACTACAAAGCTCAATCCTGGCGAAGAGCCCACACCGCCGAGCCGCACCCCAGCGCTGGCAAGTACCTCGCGGGATGTACCCCCGTCGTAAGCACATCATCCCCATGCCAACAGAGACACACAGGCTCTTCAAGTCACTGCTAAACACGTGACAGCTCACCGCTCGTTTAGTCCTACGGTTATCCAGTTGTACGATTTGCAGTCCGTTTGCCCCGGCGGAGACTTGCCACCACATCACCAACCTGGCACCGCATCCGCATGACAGCCGCTGCTGCCACAGCCACGACCTTTTTTGTATACTCTCATTGCCCCCCCGTCATGCCATGCGAAGTTCTAATCCTCCCTCCCTGCTTCAACAGCCTGCAATCTACAGCAGCCCTGGAGGACCTCCCCACAAGCTCACCGACGTCACCACCTGCCACCTGCCCACTCCCCTGGGCCTGAAGTCCCGCTAAGTTTTCGCACCCCTTCATTCCGCATCACAAAACTAAGGCTGGTTCCAGTAATGCTGCTGAGCACGCCAGCTCCACTCCATGGGGGCGTCGGTTGACTAATCATCGCCTGCGCTTACTTCTTGCGAGTCAGGACCTTGTGTGTTATTTGTATGAGCGCTTCCCGGGCTATCTCCGCGTGGTCCGACTGCGCCACAGGCAGGCAGCGTATCTGTAGCGGTATGACATTGTACGGCGGCGGAAAGGAAGTGGAGACCGCAGCGGAAGGGGACATGTATCATGGTCAGTGGAAAAAGGTCCGAGGGGGCGAGGGAGCAGACGCTGCGTATTCTCGCCTTCACTGCCGGGTAGACATGTGCGACGAGATGTGCGGCTACAGGGCGAGAGAGCTTTCCGCTATACCCGGCACCAGCAGCCCCAAGTCAAGTCGCCCGCCGAGCCCGGTCCACGACCGGAACATCACACCCTCATGCCCACCGGGACAGCCCCACCATCAACCGGGGAATGAACATTACGGCTACATTGGCGACAGCGCGGCCATGCAGGAACCCACTCAGACCCCACTCCCTGGCCCCCTGGCCCTAGTCATGCGTGGCGGGGCCCTGCTATGACCCCAGCAAGGCAAGCCGAGGTCCCGTACAAGAAAACAAAGCACTACCAGAGGTGACGCAACCCACCTGCATCTGCACAGCAACTGGCCATCTGGTTCCTACTCCTGCAGTGAGCCCCGTAACTGTGTACATGCGACAGCGCTCTAAAGGTAACTGTTTCATCTATCAACACACATAGACCCAGTGGCACGGCTCCTCCCCCCAGACGGGTGCTCTCATGTCCCACCATGTCCGCGGCTATCTTGGCATGATGCGCCGCGAGCTCCTCGGCTCGCCGCAGACCCTGTGTCCGCTGAATGAGCGTCATGGCCTGCGCAGCAGCGCGGGGAATGGGTACAGCGGGGGATTGGCCTCCACGTCGGAAAGCACGCCGGACAACCGGTAAGCAGGACTGGACTTAGCCTTGGAGGAGGTGCCCCCCGTCGTCCGTCCACTCGCCCCCTCAGGACGCCTTCCTCCAGTGCCCTGTTCCGCCACTCCCCATAAACCGCCGGACCCGTACCGATACGGGTATAGCGCGGCAGCGGCAGAACCCCCTCCCCGAGACCCCCCCGGGGGGCCCCGGAGCCCCCACTGGCCCAACCCCCTACTCCTCGCCTTGACTCACCAGCGCAACATCCCCCTCCTGCTTGAACCTCCGCAGGATGAGCGGCCGCAACTCGGGCTCCTCCTGGGCGGCGAACAGCACCTGACGGGGACAGACAAGCAGATACACAGACAGGCACACCGATACAGACCAGAACAAGTCAGGCCAGAGCTCAAGCATCAAGGCAGGAGAGGGGAATAGTAGAGGACATCTGGACGCAGCAACTCACTTCAGATGCGGGGGCGAACCTTGTAGCCAGCTACCCGGGTGGTCGAAATCCCGGCATGAGTCACACAATCTCTAACCGCGCCCTCTGTTCCAGCAAGTGGCCCCCAACGAGAACTTCCCCTTTTCCGAAGCCCCCACCCAGCCCACCACCTCCATCCATCTATCCATCCTTCCTACCACTCCTGCCTTAGCAGTGCCAGTACCGGCTGTTTTGGACGCCGACAGTTCACCTTTGTTCCTTGCATGTGATATCTCCCCCCCCCTTCCCCCCTCCCACACTCCGGCGGCTCACCGGGGCAGTGGCGAGGCCGCTCCGCAGGTCGTTGAGTGCAGGCTTCCCCAACACGGAGCTGCTGCCGGTCAGGTCCAACAGGTCATCCACAACCTACAGAGGGGAGGGCGGGGCCGCATAGGGAACTCAGACACGGCCCAAATGGAAAGCAGGCTAGGACGGGCTGGGAGAGGCTGACCCATGGATCAGCTGCAGCTGCAGCGCAACGCAGACGGGGATGCTCATATGCATCCCCACCAGCCGCAGCTTGGGCAGCTCCCCCCCTCTGGACTCTCTCCGGCCCCTTACCCCTCAACCGCCACACCAGCACCCACCTGGAACGCCAGACCAAGATGGCGGCCGTAGCTCCAGGCCATGTCACACACCTGCGGGCGGCCCACACAGGCGGTGTCGCCGTCCAGCAGGGGGAAGTGCACGAGATGGGAAGAGGGCGAAAGAACGCGGGCAACGTAAGCAAGGATCCAACCGATGCGGGTCCAGTAGGCGGCCCACAGTCATGTTCACAGGGAGGTGCCATGCCGCACCGTACCGCATAGGAGGCCGCTGGGATGACATGACCGCCGGCGACCCGGGGCCGCACAGCCGTCCAGCAGACCATTATGTCGGGGGACAGGGGGTGGGATGGAGGAAGTCCTACCGCTCGCCACTTACGACATCGCCACTGCCACACACGGCACCGCACACGTGCTGCATCACCAGCCGGAAAAAGTGCGGCTCACGTGCACCCAAGTCGCGGTTCAACCCCAATGCGCAGACCAACAACCCCCGCTTGCCCTCAAAGCTCTACTGCGTGCCAGGTCCTCCTCCGCGGCCATGCGTTCTCAACCCCCTCAGGCACCCAGCTCCAGGCGCCCCTCGCTGTCCGCGCCATCAAGCCCCTCCAGCCCCTGACCCTCTGCCAGCGCACCTCTGGCGGCACCCCCGCCAGCACCGCAATGGATCGTGAGCTGTTGGCCATCAGCGAGGCCGTCTTACAGTAGGTCTTGGCCAGATAGTGGTCCAAGTCCAACAGCTGCTCGCTGGTAGCAGTCATCTGAGGCAGAGGGGGGAAGGTGTGGACTGAGCGGGGCCAATCTGGTTACCCCCGCAGGTGGCTACCCGCGCAAGCTCCACCCGGGTGCCGCTTTCCCTACCCCCGATCCCGGCCCCGGACGCCCACGTCAAAGTCACGTCTGGGTTCGCTTGTCTTTCCGTACAGGCTCCGAATCCATAAAATTGACGTCTCTCCACACGTCCTACGGTCGGCGCCCCTGCTAGCCTTCCCTCACGAACCCACACACAACGTTGTGATGTCGCCCTCTTGCGGACATCAGAGGGTGAACCAGAGTATGATTCCGACTAAACATGTCGTACAATTCTGTCTTTTCGCGTACGACATCGATGTGGCAAACTCCGCCCTCATATCCGCCACCATGGCCTCCTTCCCGCCCTCGCACCTGCATGATTTCCCCCGACACAAGGTGCTCCAGGACCTGCGACATGAGCACCACCGTCTCCGAATTGCGCAGCGCCGCCAGGGACACGGACGCGCGTGCCAGCAGAAAGTCGCCCGCCAGAATGGCCGTCTTGTTGCCCATGACGTTGTTCAGGGACACCACACCGCGCCGCGTCTCCGCATCATCAATGACGTCGTCATGCAAGAGGCTAGCCACGTGAATCAGCTCTGCTATCTCGGCAATGCGCTGCTGCCGTCTCCGAAGCTCGGGAGCATGCTCTGCTGCGGGCCGCAGGTCCACTTGGAGGTACTCGGGAGGCGGCACGGCAGGGGAGAGCGCCGACGACATCAGGAGCACCAGGGAGGGTCGGAGCCGCTTTCCTTCCATGCCGTGGCGGAAAAAGTACTCCGCCGCGGTTTTCAAGGCAGGGATGCCAGTTGAGACGCTGTGGCGGAGGCGCTCAGATACGATTTCGACCTCCTGCCGCACGATGCTGAAGGGTTCGACTTGCCGCCCGCGCACTTCCGCCCAGGTCTGCGCGAGAGGAAAGTGAGAGCTGACCCTAGGCGTGAGCCAGCCAGCGCCGGCACGCCTTAACAAGCGGCTAATGAGCGCACCTGAATGTATCCTTGAGGAACAGCTGCTGTGAGGAACATCCTACGCAGCGCTCGTCCCTGCATGGAATAGGAACTGTTGCACTTAAATTGCTAGTAGGAAACGGCTCCAACCGAGCGTAAACTCACTATAGTTTCTACGGTGACCGACGATGACGTCGAACATCCTGCGGCGGCATAAACCACTGCTCATTTACAGGCTGATGGCTCCCGTCGATGGACGCCACACCGGCTCCTCACCCGCGCAGGAGGAAGAGGCAATCGCCGCGCCAAGCAAGCTGCCTTGGCATGTTGCTTTCCGCAAGCTCATGCCTAGCTTGCGAGATACGCTGCGAGCACGTTTGCCTCCGTGGAAAGCGGGCGGCCAAACTTTGGGCGCCTATGTAATTTACAGTTTGCTCTCGTTCATAAGTCCACTGTTCAGGCCTAAGGCATAACCGTTTGCTATCTTGTGAGCTGCGTTATGTAGGCAAGCGCTCGAACTACCGTGAAAAGCACACCCAAATGGAAGTGTGTGTACATACAAGTGTAGATTGAACAAGGAGTAAATGGAAAATCGGAATGGTGCGAGCTCTGTCGAATGAAGCCGCATGACGGCGTGGCGACAGCTCCGGTTTCGGGTAACCCAACATGCCGTGCAGCACAGCGAGCCCAATGCAAAACCCGACGCCGCGAACCTAACAATTATTATAGTTCTATCTGTAATTGCATCTACCCAATATACTTCATGGCCCGCACCAGCCCCTACGCTCTCTCGTGCACCCTCCTCTGGCCTCCTTCCAGCGCCTCATCCAAATCCAAACCCCGGCATGCCAAAAACACAATCGTTAGAGAAAGCAAGCTATGCTTTCCCTTCTCCTGCTGACACTAAACCTTGTCACCTCTCAGGCCCCCTCAATCATCATCCGGCACTCCCTCAATTGTTAGCGTCGACACAAGAGCAGCCTCGCGCCGCCTTTCTTGCTCCGCCTGCCGCCGCGCGCCTTCGTCCCGCCGCTGGTGCGGACTGACAGCCGGCTTTGGTGGCAGGCTGTTGCAAAATCGCACAAATGTTGGCGCGTCCTTCATGGACCGATAGTACGACGGGTCATCCTCCACGCGCTGCGGCGCGCCGTACACCAGGCTGCGGTCCCCTGCCCGCCCCGAACCACGATAGCTATCCTGCCCAACCCGGACCTTGCGCCCCATCGTCGCCTCAAAATTAACCTCCTTGTCGGTCTCCCGCAGCCCGGTGATGCCATCCGGCCGGCCCAGTCGCGGTAGCGGCGGTTCTGGGATTGCCCCCGCCGGGCGGTAGCGCACTTCATCTGGCGGCGGCCGAGTGCCACGCGGTGCCGGAGGCATGGGCCCGTACGGCTCCGGGATGCTGCGCTTACCCTCCGGCCTGAAGTAGAGGAGCGACATGAGGAGCATGGGCAGTGGTGGCGTCAGCGGAAAAGGTTGAGTGTGATGATGCGGTGCAGCGGCAAGGGATGGCGAGGGTTATGTGTGGAAGCACAGGAAGCACAGAGGCATTCCACCAGCCGACTGCGTCCCCGTCGGCTAAGTTGGGCGCCAGCAGTCGCACTCCGAAGCCGACTTGGTCGGTGCCCCACTACTCTTCGGCTGATGCCGCGCAGTGGAACTCTTTGAGTTGCAATGCATGGCTCACCTTATCAGGTGTATTCTTAAACAAGCAAGGACGACCCCGTCCTGGGCCACTTGCACACTGCCTTTCCTTCCACTCACCCAGCACCCGCTGCGACTTACGACGCTAACTGCACTGACATTATCCTCGGAATCACAACGGCGAGACGCCCGTTTTGTGGCGGCAGTAAGGGGCGTACTTCATCAGGAATTCGGAAGGTGCACTTGCAGTTTGAACCGGGAAGGGGTGTGTGCGGCGGTGGGATGGGAGAAGCGTCAGGCGACGCTGAACACCTGCGGCCAGGGCTGGCGTACCCCGGAATGGGGCGTACGGCTTTCCGGCTTCCCTGCTTGGTTGGCTCCACCCTCTCTTTTGTAAGGACAGGGTCCCGGAGCTCGATCCACTGCCTTCAACGCGTCACTCCGTCAGACCTCCCAGACGGCGGGCGACGCCGCGTCCACGAATGCTGGCAGCGTGTGGAGTTCCCTTAGGATGCCCCGTAAAAGCCTTTTCCGGCTTTGCCTCGGAAATTCAAGTGCTTCGCTGACCACGGGCGCGTTCAGCCCCGGACCCGCGCCTTGCGTCCGATAAAATGTGCGCACCTGGACATGGAGCCCATGATCTTCCGCGCGGAACCGGACCAAACCTATCCGGGCTCTTCTTCTATGACTCGCGAGCCCTCTTCCCCAGGCCCGCAGACCACGTGAGCCGCACCGCGTTGTGCAGATTTTAATGACTCACCGTTCAGGCCGCACCGGCTCCGGTATGTGCTTCAGCGTCCGCCGGTAAGTCGTCGACTCGGTGTCGTCCCCCATGGTTCGCCGGCCGTAATAAGAGCCGTGGCCTCCCACCACGGTTGGCTCGGAGTAACTGCTGGAGCATACTTGCTCATAATGCCGCCTGCGCATGTGTCCGCGGTGGCCATGCAAACATTATGGTTCGGATCAGGGCAAAGGGCTTCGACAGGACAAGCCTTGGCACAGGTTCCGTTGGGAAAGACCATATCTTCTGTGCATTTGTGGACGGTACATCTTGTATGTGTGTAATGTGAGGGTTGCCCAGGGCAAGGGGTGAGCATGGCAGCGACTGCCAATCTGTACGGCGCCAAAGCACCAAAAAGAGGGGATGTAATTTGTAGTGTACAGGTGCGCTTCATCCGTTGGCGAGCCCGGGTTACAGCACAGGGAGGAGTGCCGGCCTATGGCACGAGTTACGAATAGGTCCCCACCGAGCAGCAGGTCTATTGCTGCCGTGCAGTCTGAAAGTTGTGCAACAAGACTTGGGTTTCGAGCTCACCGCAATCCAGGATCTCGGGGAGCGGGAGCTTTGTCCCACGCTGCCAGTCCCCTCGAGCCCAAGTCTGAGGCAGGGCCTGACAGGTGTGACCTCCCTTTGTCACAAAAGTTGTTGCTCCAGTTCGGACTGCTGCCTCGAATTTCTCCATACAACTCTCTACCCACACAACTGCAGCAGAGCGGCGAGCATCGCACCTGATGGGTCAGTTACAAGACGTCCGCCGCCAAGCTTTGCACTTGTGGCACTTACGCAGGACCTTCGGTTGGTTGCAAACAAGCTTTAACTCCAGACATGGCTGAAGAAACTCAGGAATGACGGAAATCAGGATGCGAAAACGTCACTTTTACCCCCAATTACTATAATATTTCTTTTATCGCTCAAATATGCTGATGGGATTCTAGAAGCTGATGGAGGAACTGGGATAGAGGACGCACAGACTTAGATGCAGTCTTACGTTATTTAGGCCGATCTGCCAGATAGTTTGCTATATTGTCATATTTGTTTATTGGGGGGAGCACTTGTTTGGTCCTTTAGATGATGGGTCCTGCTACTACTCATTCTCAGAGTTATTGGTTAGTTGGTTAGCAGTACTGAGAAAAGTGTTGCCTTGGTTGCCTTGCTCGCCAAGGCCAACCTATTCAACTCTGCCAGACACTTTGCATTGGTATCTTTACGATTGTAGTCATGACCTGGGGCAATTGCTTTGTCTAACCCGCTTCGACGTTGCCGCCAGACAGTTCAGCCCTAACATTTCTTTCCCCGCATCTGCGGCTCAGTCGGTGAGCGCAATTACAACCGCTTTATCAAATAAGTCTTAAATCCGTATTAGGGCTCTCGCTTAGGAGGGGGAAACGTTTGGCGAGTAATCCATGCTCGCAGCGTCCTCACGATTTACTGAACCTGGCAGACTGCGACTGGTCAGTTTTTCCCAGTCCACGATCTGCCGTGCAGCGCTGCATCGCCGTCAACGTTTGGATAGGGTCACCTGTGGAGGACTCAGATGGTGCGGGTACAGCTGAAAAAAGCTCACGGATACCAGAGTCCTGGCTTTGAATACACAGTCAATTAGTGATGAACGCTCGTCGTTCGACCGCAAGGACCTCATGTGGATGTACTCCGGTCCGCACGGTCCGCAGGCTCTCTTGCGTGTGCAAAGCCCGGTTCGTCGAGAACCCGGAATTGGTCGTCGGAGATGCTGTTGCTATGGTTAATTTCTGCTTGTACAAGCAGGCAAGTTTCCCCACGCGAGAACAGTTTGGTCAGACCCGCGGACCGCAGCCTGTGCGTTACCGCGCGAGGGAATGCGGCTGTGCTGGCCCGGTGTGCAGCCATGACGGGGACTCCGCCAGGTGGGGTGGTTGGGTAATCCTGCATTTACCAGTAGACTTCAGAAGCAATCTTGGCCATCCAATGACAGCTTGCAAGCGAAACGGGTGTGTGCGCATCCGTCGCACTGCGTGTCATTAAGGTAGGCGTGGCACCTGATTTCCTCCCGCCGCCATCTGATATCGGACCTGCCGAGCCTCAACTAGCCGCGTCACCCGCTTGGCATCTCTCCGTGCCGTTGCCTCGGCCCCAGTCCCCCTCTCCTTCTCAACCCTGGCGTCCTTTCCTGCAGCCTCCAATCTTCTCCATCTCCTTCTCGCCTTCCTTTCTGTCACCATCTACAGCCCAATCCTGCCCACCGCCTACTCCCTTGCTTAGATCGCGAGCCTGGTCCTGGCCCCCGACTTCGCTGGCTGGATGGCGCCCGTTGCCTTCAACTGGACCCGCTTCGGCGAGTTTTGCGGCTTGACCGCCACATTGACAGGGACCTGGGTTGCCGCGGGGCTTCTGATGGGGGCATACCGCACCGCAGCCACCGCTGACCTGCCCTCTGCACTGCGCACCGCCTCGCTTACTTGGCTGCTGGCCATGCCTGTTGCGGCTGCTCAGCTGGTCCTGGCCACTGCTGTGGAAAGCCGGTGAGGGAAGGAGGCTGGGGCAGGGAAGGGCTAGGCGGGTGTTCATGACGGTGGTGGTGAGCGGATGCGATGAAAGCAGTGGAATGGAGGCCGGGATGCGGCTGAAGGGGAGTGTTCAGGATGCACAGTGAAAGGCCGAGAGGGGAGAACCAGTTGGCGAAGCAGAAGACGTTTCCAGAGTTCGGGTAAGGCCATAAGGATTGACGAACGTTGGGATGAGCCCATGCCTTCCAGAGTGAGAGATATGCCCACGTTGATCGGAGCTGGGGAAGAGGGGGGATGGGTGCCCATGTGCAGGGCGATTGCACCGGAGGCCGCGGAGGGCGACAACCAGGCGACCCCGTGGGCATGGGTTATGAAGTGACTGAACATAAGCATGGCCTTGTTTGTGAATTAATTTCCTCGTCAACCCCCCACCCATTCACGCAACACGGGTGCACCGATCACGGACACGCACCTGTGGCGGACGCAGGTTGGGCTGTCCTCTATGTCCACTCCTCATCACCACGTCCTCGCCCCGATTCCCTGTTCTGGCTTTTTGTGGGCCCCCTGCCACCGCCCTGACCCGGGCCGCCATCGGCTGCCGCAGCTCCTTGGTGGGTGACGTAGACTTTGCAAGTGCCATGCCTCTGGCCGCCTCGGGCATTGGGGAGCCCTTTGTAACCGCCTCCGGTGTGCTGGCGCTCATGACCCTGTGGCGCTGCGTCTACTCGCTTTACTTGGACCCCTTTGGCTTCAAGGGACTGGGCTTCCGGCGACAACAGTTCCTGAGGGAGCTCTACAGGTACGGTAGCACACCAGGACACAAGACGGTACGGCGGCAGGTGTGCCATGCGTGCCAGTGTGGGCGTACTTAAAAATAGCGTGGTTGTCAGACCCACCTACTGGGAAGAGCACCTCCGGGGCTTTCGCTGGAAAGGTGGCTTGACCGACAGCTGTAACCTGCGCCGCGTCCCAACCTGTCATAATACGATAGTACTGGTCTGCCAGAAGCACACCTTTGAATCTTAACAAGAGATTACGTTCCGTTCCATGCTGCCAATGTTCTAAACCGACAGCTTCCGGGAGGCCCTGTTGATGGTGACGTTAATGGCAGGCATCGGTTCGGCCTCACTTCAGGTGCGTCGCCGCTGTGTTCAGAGAACGTTACATATCTGCATGCGGCAGTGTTAGGCCTGCTGCCCCCTGTCTGCACGTATGCTTCTGTACGCGAATGCTCCAGGAGAGGAGTAGGCAAGTCCAACCGTCGCGTTTTTGTTCAGGGGTCGCGGCGATGCTAATGCATCAGATTACCGTGACGCAGGGTGTCGTGTTCTGTGCTGTTGCCCAACTTGCACTTGCTTCCTGTCTGCAACGCTGGAGCGGTCCATCTCCGCAACACTGGCATCAACTTGTGTCAATTTTGCCCGGTTTTACGACCTAGTTTTCGACCTAGTCACGTTTGAGCATTCGCATGTTGCGCTTTTGGTGTGCTGGGTATATGATGCAATTGTGATCCGCGTCCCTGCGGTGCTGCGCCCGCTCGTCCCACCAAACCCGGCGCCGGCGGCATCGTGGCTCTGCCTTTCGGCACCACAGGTGGTGCAAGCATTGGACAGTCTCATCTCTCGCAACATCTGAGGGGACGTTGCGCTCACCGCTGTGCTGCTTGCTCCTCGCTGGCAGACGGCCGGTCATGCATGCACGCACCGAATGGATGGATGCAAATGCGGTGGTGTATCAGTTGCAGTTATCCTTAGTGTCTTAGACGTGCGCAAGCTTCTGGGCCGCGTGCACATTTGCCGACAGGCAGGGTGTGGCGGAAGCGGAAGATGGTGGTGACTACAGAATGGCTGTGAGCTCGCTGCAGGGTGTGCGATAGCTCACATGAATTGCAGACGCTGCTGCGATAGCCGTCCTGTCATGCACGGTCAGAGTGGTTGCAATTGATAAAGGAGGAAGGATCTTGACCTGCCGTACAGTGCGGGCGATGTAAATAGGGTTGACGTGGACGGTTGTCCCAATGGGATGGTGTGGAGACGGCATGCAGGAACGCCTGCGCCGTGTCCATGTCCCAGCAACGGAAGTCGCTGTCCTGCTTTGAGCCTTCATCTCATCACCTTTCGGCGAAGAAGTTGAAGGCGTAGTGACTGGCAGGTGGAGCTCTCGGGCTACACCACCTGCCATTGGAAAGGTGCTCGAGCATCGTGCTGACCTGGCTGACGCCCCAAGGAGGGGCACCGGTGAGAGTGTGGAGGCTTACTCGGCTCCTTTGGCCCAATCAGTCAGACTTTGGTGCCAAGCCTGGCATTGTCTGTCGTAGCACACTGCCGTATAAGGGGCTGAACCCTCTTGGGGGCTTCCTAGCTGAAGCTGAGACCGTGTGCCATGGATGCGTTTTTGCTTTGTCAGGTGTATACGCACGATGTCGGCGTACAATGCCCCAAGTCCCAGGGGTCATGGCGCTTTGGCATGCCGCGGACGAGGTGGAGGCTACACAATGCCCTCATTGCAAACTCAACCTGCTGCCTTGGAAACCCTTGTTACGGATTGGGCCTGCACCTCACATGTGTCGATGCTTCTGCCGGATGGAGCTTGGGTTAAGGAGATGACAGAGCCCGGCATCCAGCTGAATGATCTTAATAAGCATGGCATTGTAACCAGACCCCATGCATGAATGGGACCGAGGACGCGTGGTAGGAGCACACTGATTTCGGTTGGCGCCCGAATCCAAAAGAAGAAACATTACTGCATATATAACATGGATGAATTTTAAGCTTCGGATGGGGGCCCAGCAACTTTAAGGAAAGCCGTACTTCTTCCCAGGTCAACAGAGTCAAGACATCCTGTCAAGTTCTTGGCGTCAACACTGAATAATCGATACATGTACTCTGTTACACGCATGTAAGCTTGGGCCGTCTCCATTAGAAAGCATAGAGTTGTTTGAGCGAGCCCCGACGAAATTGAACTTCAATAACACGCTGTCATTACGGAAAGCTAATGGGGACGTGCGGCTAAGGAAACTTAGGGACGGAAGGGCCTCACCAACAACGCATTGCCCCCGAAGAGCTGCCGCGCCCCAACGTGAGTTTGCAGTTAAGAGACTCCAAGGGAACGACCATCTTTTATCGCGCTCTCTTTGCCAGCTTTATTGCTTAATGAATAACTTCTAACGGAGACCTGCGTGGCGTTGCTTCAGGTCAAGTCAGGACCACTCGGAGATCGGCTGGAAGAGGACCCCCGGTAAAAGCGGGAGGGAGGCTTGAGACGTAGACGTGCTATCCAATGGGGGCCTTAAGCCTGGTTCTATTTACTGCAGGTGGCAATGAGTGCCAGTGTAGGCAACGCGGCTCAGCAACCCTCCGTGTCTGGCAACGATTTGCAGCAGGTATAGCTTCGAGCTGGGGCTACGTGTGACGGGCGCATGTAATAAGCTCGTCCCTCTATATGTGCAGAGCATGAAGGAGTTGACTATTAAGGATGAGGAGGCTGGTTCCTCGAACAAGCCACTGCAGAACCCGGCCACAGCGGAGGTGCGCCCTCCGACACAGTTCGCGAGCATAGCCGGAAAAACGAAACGAAAAAAATGCTCGGTTATACTACTCGCAGATTTTTGAAGGGCGACTGATTGAAGGCGACCTGAAAAGTGGAGGCCATGTGCTGTCGGCGTCGGCAGGCACTGGGGCATCACGGCAGACATACAACTACTCAACAGACCGCGTCGTTGGGAATGGCTCATTTGGAGTAGTGTTCCAGGCAACATGCTTGGAGACGGGCGAGACGGTGGGTGCACGTGCGACTATTCACATGCGTAATGTAGCTACGCCGTGTAGGGGGACACCAGCTCGCACCCCATCTCTGGGCGCAGGTTGCAATCAAGAAGGTGCTGCAAGACAAGAGGTTTAAGAATCGGGAATTGCAGATTATGAAGCTTGTAGACCACCCGAACATCGTCAAGCTGAAGCACTGCTTCTACTCGCACACTGACAAGGATGAGACCTACCTGCACCTGGTACTCGAGTTCGTGCCGGATACCGTCTACCGGATCAGCAAGCATTACGCGAAGAACAACCAGCGGATGCCTAACCTGTTCGTTAAGCTGTACGCATACCAAATGTGCCGTGCGCTGAATTCCATCCACAAAATGGGCATCTGCCACCGCGACATCAAGCCACAGAACCTCCTTGTGAACACCGAGACACACCAGCTGAAACTCTGCGACTTCGGCAGCGCGAAGGTGTTGATTAAGGGGGAGCCTAACATCTCGTACATCTGCTCACGGTACTACCGTGCGCCGGAGCTCATCTTCGGCGCCACAGACTACACCAGCGGCATTGACGTGTGGTCCGTGGGTTGTGTTTTGGCAGAACTTTTGCTTGGTCAGCCCCTCTTCCCCGGTGAGAGCGGCGTGGACCAACTAGTGGAGATTATTAAGGTCCTGGGCACCCCCACACGGGAGGAGATCAACTCTATGAACCCCAACTATACGGAGTTCAAGTTCCCGCAAATTAAGGCGCACCCTTGGACGAAGGTGTTCAGCAAGCGCATGCCACCCGACGCAGTGGACCTGGTAGGTTGCTGAATGTAATCCACCACGATCAAAAAACACTTTGGGCAGACGTCGCTGATTTTCCCCTTACCATTTTCGTGTCCAGGTTTCAAAATTGCTGCAGTACGCGCCACAAAAGCGTATGACGGCTATCCAGGCCATGACCCACCCGTTCTTTGACGAATTGCGGGATCCGAACACCCGCCTTCCTAACGGTATGGTCTAAAGCCGTGGCCGGCTATATCTTGATTTTGATGGGTATGTCGCCTTCGTTGCGGGTGTAGATTGCATTGAGGTATAGTCTGGGGCCGAGGACATGGTCTGCTGTTACCTAGTGCTGACCTGCATGGTAATACCTTGTTCTTGTGCCTGCAGGCCGGTCTCTCCCGCCGTTATTCAACTGGCTTCCGGGCGAGCTGGACGAGGTGCCTGCGGACATCGTCCGCAAGCTCCAGGTACGGAGGGCCGCATGCGCACTGTCCAGGGTAGGGCAACTTATGGCTGTTCGCGTGTGCGCTCTTTGGCGTATAGACCAGCGACTTTGGTATCGTCAGCTACCATGATAAGGGAGAAAGGGGAAGAAGCGCCGGCACCTCATGGTCGTATGATTAGATTTGCCTAGCCCGCAATGTGGGCCTCCCACCGAAAGGGGCTCCCTACCTTGATAATGCGTCTTGGAAGGACGGAATTCCTGCTTGCGCACCATATAAGAGGGTGCCTGTTACGGTTTCCATTTTTTACCTTATATTGCCCTTTTTACTATACTTTATACCCTCCCCTGCCCCCTCCATTTTTCCAGCCCGCGGTGAAGACCACGTGAACATCGCCAGAGCGAGTGGTCACATTGTCGGTGCAAAAGCTGTCGTACATGTACTGGATGTAGATGAGCATGGAGACATAGAGGAGAAGCCGGGTAGTAATAAGGGATTGGAACAGCGTTTGGCAGTGTGCATGACGAGGTAAATAGTTGGCAGCGGGGCTAGGGTTTCCGTGCTGGGTTGTGCAGGACTAACAGTCCGTCTCAAATACGTTGTTGAACAGCGAGGGAGTTTGATTTTTCTTTGGGTTTGGGTTTTTGGCTGCGGGCGTGCGGGAGTTTGTTACATGACTGTACCAACGAATGATGCGTTGCGAGTTTTCGCGGCTGCCGCAACTGGGTGTTCCGTGTTGGTCGGTCTGTGTCAAATGGACACTTAAGTTGTGGCGAAATGTGGTATAGATGTGTGCAGCCGCAGGCTGGTCTCGTGATCTATTTGAAACCATCGGCCGTATGGCGTTGACGCTAATGTGTCTGCCGGTCTAAATTTTGTGTGCTTGTGTTAAGGTTATTGCGCGAGATAACATTTCTTTGTTACAAGGTTTGGGAAAAGTACATATGTCCAGGAACATCATTCGACAACCAGGAACATGTGAATAATTGAAAAATCATGTGTCCTATTAACAGATGCAAATGTCAATGTCCCCTCCTGCCTTGGTAAACTTGAGATAATGTCAACAGCATTCCGATGCAGAATAGCCCTACATCTCCTGTCAGCGCGGCATTTTACATGTGTCAATGACCATCTCAACGGCAGATTCTGTCTTCATCATGCCAAAACCTTGGCGGGCGACTTGCTAACCTTGATGCCGTTGATAGCTGCGTGGAAGGGCGACAAAGTCTTAATGCTCAATTTCGCAATCAATTCAATAAACAGATTGGCTCTCATCTCACCATCGCGGTACGACTTTGCCTTGAACACAGCAGAACCGGCAACAATGGCGTTGGCACCCGCGTCAATGACCTGCGATGGCAAAAAAACACAACCATTCACATACAGCTACAATCTAGCGCATAACACCTCACTGTATCGGAACCCAACCCCGTAAAACCCTCAGGAGAGAAAAATCATTTTGCAGCCCCTTCAGGGCGCTTTACTATCTCGTCCCGAGTGAGCCACACGGCACAGTCCACCTCTCTACCCTCTGCCATTCCTATAACCCATTTGCCGCACCTTGTAGGCGTTCTCCGGGGTCACACCGCCGTCGACCTCAATCCATGGGTTGACACCCTGCTCCAGGCGCCGGCAGGTCATATAAGATTAATCGTTTCACCGAGTATAGAGGTTGCGTTTCACAATTAAACATTATCCCCATTATTCTCCATTATCACAGACCCCACCGACTAAGATCAACAGCATTATCGCATCGCCGCTCGTGTCCCATGCACTGCCGAGCTCGTCAACCAGTTTGCCAACAAGTTTGCAGGTTCAGCACAATGCTGGGGGCGTCCCTAAAAGCACTGCATTCCTTTTTGGTTGCATAACCTGTTATCCCCAATTTCAACCCTTAGCGCGAGGAGGAACCCCCGATCAAACTCCGGGTAAAGTTCGGTGGCGCAATCTGCAGGAAAATCACTTTGTGCAATCTGCCGGCGCGGCCGCCACTGCTGCACCCGAGATGTAACACCCATCCCGCACCATTACATTCTTTATTTCCCAGGCCGTGCAAGAGCGACCAAATCAACTGGCCCTGCTATCCAGGGGGAGAGCAGCAAACATATCTGCTGCGCAGCTTCTGCACAATAACAGTACTACAAACAGAAGCGGAGCCACTGGCTTTTCAAAAAGAAAGTGACATCGAAACAGACACCTATGCCAATTATCCCACCCTTTCGCCCACCTTCTCGAGGCACATGGCCTTGAGCGCACGGATCTTGGCGACCTGGCTCTCGATGAACTTTTGCCCGCCGAAGCCCGGGTTCACCGACATAATGAGCACAAGGTCGACTACATCTAGGATCTCCTCAATAGCAGAGAGGCTGGTGCCAGGGTTGAGAACCACACCAGCCTTGCAGCCCAGGTCCTTGACCTGCACACATACACAGGGGGTCCTTAGAGCGGGCGTTTGTACAATCAGGGTGCGGGCAAGACTTGTACAACCAGGACGGGTAAGGGTGTGGACATAGCGCGGGGCTTGAATAGGCAAGGAGGCTCCTAGATTTAATGCTAACGGGACAATAGCTGAAAAAAATGCAGCCAAGTTCAAGGTGCGCTCTGTAGCACGACCTCGGGACATGCTCGACAGCTTCCGGCTGCGATGATAATGGACCCCCTAAACACGTGCAGGGGAAAGCTGTCAATCTTGTGCATTCCACGGCATATCGGCAGTATCAAGGTGGAGCCGAGCGGCAGTGTCCCACGGCGGGGTATTCCCGGCCCCTTCCCCCCAAGACCGGCCACGTACTTGATTGAGGGTGCGGTGAAGGTGGATAGTCGAAGACTGCTCGGCATGCACGGAGATGATATCAGCGCCTGCCTTGGCGAAGTCGGGGATGCGGAGTTCGGGCTCCACAATCATCTGTGGGAACATGTCGGAGAAAATATTTATACATACCTACAAGCTGTCCTTAGCGTTAAGTCTTTATAAACTTACCAGGTGCACATCCAGGACCTTGTCTGTCACAGGGCGCAGGGCCTCAACGACCAGGGGACCAATGGTGATGTTGGGCACGAAGCGTCCGTCCATAACGTCTACGTGCACCCAGTCGCAGCCAGCCTGGTCGATAGCGCGCACCTGCGCCAATTTTACGGCAGAATTAAATACACAGCATTGGGTGGACCTGCGCCCTGAGCCAAGTCGAAGCGGCGGCCGTCCATGTTAACAGGTTGTTGGAAGCGCACCTCCTCGCCCAGGCGCGCAAAGTCCGCCGACAGAATTGAGGGAGACACAATAATATCAGTCTTCTTGCACTGGTCCACGCGGTGTGTAGCCTGCACGCGAACGACGCTGCGCGACGGCTTAGCCGCGCGAGCGCCCACGGCCTTCAGAGGGATGCGCATGTTCAGGGCCATTGTGATCTGTGATAAGTTAACAGCGGCTAAGATCAGCGCAGTCGGCTAAGGCAGGCCTTAGTATAGTGAAGGCCCACTTTATCAGAAACGCTCAAAGACGCTCCGGAACCTCGTGGGAGTGGATGGCTACGGATCCCATCCTGAAATCCACGGAGAAACAATCTTTTGGGCGCACATATGCAAAGTTTATGGTCTATTTAAAAATAGCTTGAAGCTAAGGAAGCTACTCAGCCCCAGATGCGGCGATAGCGTTTGTCAACGAACTTGACGGGCAAGACGTTTTGCCAAGTGCCCTGTAGGTTATAGTGTTAATCTTCAGGCGGCATGCGTTTTACGTCATGACTCAACGATGCCCTCCTGCCTTTGCAGTGTTGGGAGTTGAGGTTTGCAGCGATGTTACTGAAATGCATAAGCTAATAAAGTTACTGCTTTCTCCTCCACATGCATGTTGCCTGGCAGGAAAAGGCCAGTACCGCAGTGTGTTTACGAAGGCCGCGAGCACACACTTGCACAACTTCGCTTCCGCGCACAACTTCGCTTTCGAGCACAACTTCGCTTTCGAGCACACATTTGCACAACTTCGCTTAGCGACAGATCCAAATTTTACAACGTTACCGACGATGAAGCCAACAGGCAAGCCAGCAGCCAGACATCTGGGGTGGCAAGCAGAGATTCTGCACTTTACCATCCTATATACATTGCGCTGCTACTTCAGATATCAACTCCCTCCCTCAGAAGATTTCCTGGAGCCCTAGGAACCCATGCTTGCCCGCTATACTCCAACCAAAAATGGCCAACCCATACGTCCCACGTTAGGGTGGCGTCCGCCGAGGGGGTTTGATAGTGATACGGTGACTAGAGCATTGGCGCGGACCAGCGAGTTGCCAGGATCACTCTCCAGGCTTCTGTAACATCATGTACTGACCATTTCCAGCCTATATCTGATGACATCTAATTCGTACGGCGTGGGGTACGCCTGGCCCTTTAACCCCGGTTGGCCCTGAAATTACCCAACAACAGCTAAAGACCACCCACATGGGCAACAACTCCACAACAAAAAGTGCCATCCGACGACGATACAACCCCCTCCGCAAATAGCGCTCCTCCCTGAGGCGCACCGACCAGCCACCAATACAGCCAGTCAGCCAGCCGGATAGGACCGCTGTCCTTGTGCGAACAGCTTGTCCGCTCAACGGTATCTCCAAAAGGGTGTGAAAAGGTGGTCCGACCTTGGACTTCGGCGAAGCCGAGCGTCACAATGTGCGGACCTGACGCAAACATGCATTTCCACTTGGCCCCACCTGCGCGGGTCCACCTCAAAGTCACGCACCCGCTTAAGCGCCCATATGAAGCACACACCCGCCGCGACAAGAAGAGAAGATGCGCGTCAACCGAAAGTCAAAACCGCATCGTCGCCACATTACGCAGATGTGCGTGTTCAGACGGCGGATGCGTCCAGTCCACGGCCATAAGGCCCTAGGGGCTAACCACCTTCCGGCCGGACCGCGGTACATGAACGCACCCAGCTGGAATCCCCTTCGCGCTCCTTTCCTCCCGTCTGGATGACCAGCAATGGGTGCTCAATGAACACCTGATACCCGCCCCACCCCCCCACCCACAGCGCCGTACGTGCTCCTGTACATGCATCCGTACAGACTATACATCACGCAGGCTAGTTTTACGCTCGTTCTAGCTCAGCTGCCACTTCTCCATGCGTATACATGCACCCACTGTTCCACCAACAGAGGAGATGAAGGCTGGGCAACCCAATTACCCGCTCCCCCCTCCCCACAATCTTTCCTGACACAAACGCACACGTTAGGTGCTCGGCCCACTGCACCCTGCCTGCGGCGGCCTGCTGAAAGCCCCTCACACCGGGGGCCCGGGGGGGGGGCCAGGAACCCCAAGGGGAAACATATGCAAGGAAGTGGGAAGTGAACTGCCACGGCGTCCAAGGTCCGGGAGGAAGAGCAGTTAGGGACATTGGGCGGCACGGTAAAGCCGATAACACTTGGAAAGACAGAGAGGAGTTACGGACGGAGTACACGAACAACTGCCGACGGAAAAGAAAAGGAAAGGAGAGGGAGACGGTCCGCAAAGGGAGGAAGAGCGAACGTCTTCCGGGGGTGTGTTCCACATCATGAATCGGTGGTCAGAATTCTCGGATGGGTCCCTCATTCTGCCTCTTGCACTTATCCTTGGTGACCAGGATATATCTATGGATCTAGCCAAATACCAACCGTGAAATGGTTAGGGGCCCCGGAGGGGAGCCGCTGCCCCTTCTGCCACGAAGAACCCCGAACTCCTTCAGCAGCTCGGCAGCTGCACTACATTCATATTGCTGGTATCCACCGAGGTGCTGCCACCTGCAGCCGGACTACGACCCACACCGCGGCTGCTGCCAAGGACGCTACTGCTGCTGCTGCCGCCGCCGCTGCTGCCGCCGCTGCTGCCGATGCCGATGCCGCCGCTGC